AAAAATTTCATTCTGATGAAGCGGAAAAATTGAGCTTTTAGGTGCAGTACAGAGATGCCGTATTGGGCGAAATAATTGCAAATGGGTTGCAATGTGGTGACCGTGGAATCCAAAAATATGTTTTCAAGTGACGTATTTCTGATTTCATCTATCCATTGATTGTCACTAATTAAAAGATATAAATAATATGCAACTTAATAGACAATCAATAAACATTAATAAGTGATGTAACAGCACAGTTTTATCACTATACAGTATTTCAGTAACACTGGAGTGAGCAGACGTGAGTTTTTGCCATTCCGTCATTGGCTCTAGGACACTTCCTATGCACCAACCGTATTCGTCATTGTCATTCGACGTGTCTCGGACATAAGAGTAGAGATGTATCTCTCCTCTATGGTCTCGGCCTCCTAATGGGAACATAATTTGTTTTCGGATACCGCTTGAATATTTAAAGATATTTCCCAAAACGCGTTTTTTAGTGTTTTGACGCTGCAATCTTAGTCTGCAAACGTCTGGAATTAAACCATCGCCTCCTAAATCGATCAATGTAAGACGCGTTGAATATTATTGAAAATACCAGAACCCAAAGGAATTTTTTGCTTAATACGGCATTATTTTCTTTCACGACCTTGGCAACACTGAGGTTGACATCTTTCAGTGAACAATCGAATTACAAAGTAAATCGCGCTGCAGTTTGATTTCAATGTAGAGTTTTTTATCGTATTTTTTTAAAATAAATTTGCGAAAACCTACGAACAGTGTTTCCACGGAACTTATTGAACTAGAAGAATTTCAAGTGAATATGGAAAAAACATAACTGTGAGTAACGTAGAGAATGAATGAACTTCTCATTTTTACGTTCTTACGTAAGTGCAAATACCCATTTTCAAATGAATGTGACCCACAACTAATCCAAATGAACTAACACCTTATTCACATAAACATGCAAAATAGTCACCTTTTTTTGTTAGATTCGCGTACAAAACGATGAACACAGCAATTGCAAATCAGGGGGAAAAAGATGTTTCGATAGAATTTACGAAACTAATTGGAAATAATCTTTTCTTTTTTCTTTGTCCTTCATTTAGCGTTTATGCTAATACAAATGTGCTATGTGCGTATTACCAAAAAAAAACGTTAAAATGTAGCTGTACTAAAAGTTAACAATTAGAATTAAAACCTTGTTTCCGCAATTTTAATTCTGAAATATCAATAAGATCAGTTCATGTCCCGTAAGGAGGTAATACACAAGGTCATTGAGTATTGGAAACTTTAGAACGGGAGTATAACATAATCAGCTGCAATTTATTGGTAAGTGCAATGCCAGATACTGAAAGGACATATTTGAACAAAGCTAAGCATCATTAAAAAAATTTCGTCACATGAAACTATTTTTTGAAAAATTTATAGCGTACGGGACGGCACATTTTGCGAGGACTAGTTTTACATATTATAAATAAAAGTCGGCAACGCCGCGCACGGATCCATCAAGATAAATCTTGAAAACTAGAATAGTTTCTAGGTCCTGAAAGAAACGCTCAAATTAATAAATATTCCAAATTAATCACTTATATATTACTTCTGGAATTAATAATTACTATCTTATTAATTAAAGCAAATAATAAACTATTAATCACCTGGACATACAATCACCTAGATAGTTTCTAGGTAGTGTTAAATTCGTTTGATTTCTCAAACTAGACAATATGACTCAGGTATGAAGGAACAATGAAAGCCATTATACCGTCGGCAGAGCGTCAACTTTATATACATTAATACATTGAAAATAAGAATTGTTGAGTAAGTGAAGTAAAAGTGTGAGAAAGAAAAAATAGTTAATATTGGCATTTTCTGTAGGCAATTATTAAAATTAAATGAATTATTTTTTATATCATATATTCAATTTTTCTCACGGTCTGTAATTGGTGTGGAAACCTGTATAAATTTCATTAATTTCAACCAGAAATAACGCAAAAACTACTAGTATTTTCAAAAATATTTATGGAATCTTTTTTAAAGAGCAAATTTTGTAAAACAGAGTTTGAGGCAAAATATACACAATCAATTTTGTATTTTTAATTTCAAAAAATAACGAGCAATACCCGGAAATGGGACAAGCACAACATTTTTAGTCTATTATCACATAAGTGAATAAAAGGTTTAAAAAATGAAGCTGTTTTTAAGAAAAAAGTTTGTACATTTCAACCGGAAATAATGCAAAAACTATTAGTTTTTTCAAAAAAACTTTTGTAATGAACTAATTTTGTACAACAGAACTTCTGAGATAAAACTCTTATCTCCAATTTTTAGTTGTTGTTGTTTTCTCTCAAATTTTTGAAAAATAAAGGAAGCCAAGAAAAATGAAACTTGCACCTTTCTCTCAAGCGTCCTTTGCACTATATGACAACAAATTTAATTCAACAATTTGGAGTCACTTTTGTAAATTTCTTTAAAAAATAGCTCAAATTTTTTCAAAGAAAATTGCCATTTAGCACGAGGTTTAACTGTTCTTTAATAATCACAAAGTAATATTTCCTCTCTACAATTAGGAAAATGATGCCAAAAAAATTTGGGCGGGGCTAGATGGCAGCCGGCAAAAGCATGTGGCAAGTCTGAGTTGCTAGCCCAGACAAAAGGAAATAGAAAACTAACATGGGAAAGCCTGTGCCACTCTGTAGCACCATTAGTTCTAGAAGTGTTCGATGACATTAGGTCATGTTACACCCCCTGCCTTATAAAATGAAACTTTTGAAATTGTTCACAAACATCCTTAAAACAGAGCTTGTGGTCACAAATGTGCTTCCAACTGCTAAAAAAGATTCATTTTATACAGCTGGATATGTAACAATGACCTAATGTCATTGGCCACCACAGAAAAATGGAAGTATAGAGCGAAAATCAACTTTCAGATTGAACAGATTCAGTTGAACATTACATTTGCAACTTTCCTTGGACAGGTGCTCATTTCTAGGGATTTCAAAACCACCAAGATTGAAAAGACCCACAAACAAATGAGTGAAGTTTAAAAGTCGAGATGACTTCAAAATCAGACTCTTACATTTTTGAGAGTGCATTCTCTTATCAATTATAGAAGAAACAAGGAATACGATACCACTGTGCACACAACAATATTGCAAGTTTTCTGTAATATATTTTACAATATTTCCATACATAAAGAATAGAAGTGTACATGCAAATAAATTCAGTTAAATCTAAGCCGAAATGGATAGTGACAAAAAATTTTCAGTTTAGGGAGATTTCCGTTTTATGCAAGGTTGTCCTTTAACGACACTTGTGATATCGACATTTCTGCCCTGAAAGTAGTAGACATACATTTACAAGACTTTATTATAATTATCAAAATACATTATCATCTAATGTATTTATGATAGAAATAGCCAATAAAGAGTATTAAATACTCTTCAATAACAGCTTCCGAATTGAAAAAATCCACACCTTACTGGCTAAATTCGGGCAGCTTGCTGACTCTTTCAGCACACTAACTTCAACCCAGTACTATGACTTTCTGATACCCTCGCATGGCATTGAGTAATTCGTATCTGGTCGAAAGGTTATGATTTTCAACGTGGGGCAGGGAGATGTGTGAATAGAAGCCATGCCAGTGCACCTTCCCATTTTCAGAGAGTCAGGAGAGAGGGAAGGTCCCCCAACACCTAGAGACACAAGCAATCCCAAGGTCAAATTCTATGCTGGCAGCTGAATACTCTTCTTCACTGGCTGACTTCCATGACTCAATCGCGTGTCAATGGGATAGAGTTTAAAACAAGCTTGCAGATGCATTCATTTAATTAATTAAGATCTCGAGTTTCTCTGCCAAAAGCATAAAATTCACAGGTCTTCTGTTTTAGAAAGATTCCACCCCCTACATGACATGAAAAACCATTCCATTGCACAGGTTCCATTCTATGCTGTGTAAAATGCCATTTAACTTTAACAGTCTGGAAAAAATTTCCATTTAACGCAAGTTTCCGGCTTGTACAGGCTCCGCTTTGGACATTACATAGCGAACAGTCATCTTGGCCTAGGCGACATCTAGGAAATCTATTTTCGCCCTTTTGGCGACCCTGCTATCAACAGTCTGGGTAGATCCCAGGTCGCTCAGCAGAGGAAACTGCAACGGTCCGCAGCCAACTCCACACTCCGCTAGTACCTCACAAACCGACGCAGACACATTTTGGACACTTCATATTCTTGCACATGATCCAGACCCTAAATTTCAAAAGCTCTTCAGAATTTGACTACATACGCATTCGATTATGCACTATCTGCTGATAAAGTCTCAAAGATCCGAACGTGGAATATGAAGTCTTGTATGTAAGAAGGCAAATATCTTGTGTATCTACTGGAAAAACTTTTAGACCATTAACACGGTGAATATACATAAAACTTACTATTAATTGTAGAATATGCAAGCATGGTATTGATCTGGAGAGAATACGAAAACATGTAGCTAAACTCCTCAAAAAATCTACGATGATTATAGTACTAAAGATGTCAGACGAATATATGTTCATCGTTGGATAGAAGAAAAAAGGCAACCATATAGAAACCAATAAAATTCTGAAAATTTGTTTATGATATTCATGAATTTGATAAATTTTTTATTCAACATATGGGGTCACGCTATGAAACTTAAGGCCAGCAAGAGCATTTCATCACAAAACTTGTTGTAAATGTGAGGAATGAACTTATATTGACAAGTGTTGAAGCAAAGGTGATAGCATGCTTCAAAAATCAATTACACAAACATTAATACACATAATTATACCCTAATACGATGTAAACATGTGTAGAATATCAGCTTATTGCCACTGACATAATAATAATAATAATAATAATAATAATAATGCCTTTATTATGCGTAATTATTATAATATCCTTTACATAGGATATCTAAGTTTTGGGTGTTTGCTGGGCCAGTTCAGGCTTATTGATCATAGCTTGGAGAGCTATGGCTTTCAAATTTGTTAACGTACCTGTCTGACGGTGTCGATATGTTGCATAACCAGGTACAGTTGCCCAAAATGTAAGCATGTCAGCTGTAGGAGGAATTTTTTTTTCACACACCAAATTTTTTGGGCCATCACATTCTGGCATTTTGCAATCATCTTCACTGTTATCTTGATGAGTGTTTAAATTACATGGCAGAGCTAGAATTAAAATTGCAAATTCATTTTCAAAAAATTATTTATGGAGAAAATTAGTGTAATCCATAATTTGGTTTATAGGCCATTAAAAAATACATCGGCTTGGAGGGGGACACAACAAATGCTGCTAATAATGGTCAAAAGAGAGAACGAAAAATGTATGTTTTATCACACCGGTTATCCAACTGTTATTTAATTTATACTTTAAGTACATTTATACTTACGTGTTAAAATAAACAAATAAAAAATGTTAGTGTGTTAAAATTTGAAACAGCAGTGAAAATGTATGCTAAACACAATTTTTAATTATGTTACTTTTACTTAATTCTGGATGTGGAGACGTGAAACAACAGTTACATGAAGGAGGGAGGTGTTCAAAAATGTTTGTTATTGCACAGAGGGTGAGAGAAAAGAAAAATTTGAGAACATATTTTTTGAATGGCTCAGAAAAAGCAATTAAATTTACTACCTTTTTGGAATTCACTTCCCTGACACGCTTGAATAAAAATTAATTTTGGTTTCCCCAGAAGTTGGGGACACTGATCCCCTAAGATCAGTTTCTCTATCTCTTCAACATTTACAGGAATTCCATCAACACAATAAATTTCATCTAGAATTTGAAGAAACACGGACATCAGATTCTTTTACAGCAGATCTTTCACTAAGTTACCATACATTCACACAAAGAAATATAGTTTTGTGACCATGGACCTTCTTTTTCAAAGTTCCGAGAGGTCTAGAAAATTGTCTTATAATCCCAAATTCAATAAAATAAATTTATTTTCAAAAAATTAAAATTTATACATATTTTTTACTCTTAAACAAGTAAACACTGATGTTTGTAGCCAGCCATACGTAACACATTTCTAAAAACAATAGGCTATTTTCTGTCATTATTTTTCCATATATCTGAACCAAGGAAATATAATACTGATTAATTAATTACAAGATTAATTAATCAGTATTATATTTCCGTATTATTATCAGTATTCAATTACCTTTTCTAGAAATAATCTAATATTAATGTATTGAGAAGATACAAACTTACCACGTTTTCCATGTGATAAAATACACAAAACAAAAGAAGAATGTTTATTCAGGACTTTTTGCTGAACGATCTCTTTCAAACTCTTAAGCAACGCATCACTAGGAAGATTTTCATAAATAATAGTTTCAAAGCCTAATCCTGTGAAAGTAATATTCAACATTTCTTTATCACAATCTGTCCCTGTGCGAGTACTCAACTGTTCCTGTAAAATAAAAAAAAAAAAAGCATTGTATAAAAATGAACATTTCAATGATATTGTAAAATAATACTATCATACTAATTTCTATTATAATAAAAGTGTAGTACTCACAACACCATTAGCCAAGCATTGTTCTTCACAAAAATCCCTTTGGTTGAAGACTACACACAAACCCATATTATTTTTATCCATTTTATAACACTCTGTATCAGATGATACATAAGGTTTTGGAGCAAAATTATGAGAATAATTTTTTTCCAAGAAATCATTATCAGGACACATTACGGACAGTTCATTTTCTTCATCAACAAAACGTGCCTTGTTAACTTTCTGCAGTTCCCTAGCCAAATCATGTTTGTTCATTTTATTTAAATGTCTAATCAAATTGTTTACATTAGATTCTTTATCTTTAGTCCCATCAGAAATATAATCCTTACAAATCAAATAGAGGAGAATGAATTCCATTAGATTAGTTTTATGGAGACCTAAACTGCTACGTTCATCATTTAAATCTTTCTCGATCAAGCGTGTTAATTGAGTAAGTTCATCATCAGACAAGCTCTCACACATTCTTAGCAGAGCTTTTCTCACACTGTTTACATACTGTTTGTTTTCATTTTCTTGAAACATTTCTTTCAAATGATTAATATCAAGACCTAAATGTTTAACAACTTGATAATTTTTTATTAAAATGAAGGATTCTAAAAATTTATCAATTATTTCCTGTCCAGTTTGCTTCAGATGTCCAACTAAATCAGGGAGTATCCTACTGTATTTCTCGCTCTGAAATATATTGTTTGCCAAGATACAATGGGCCTTAAAAGGGTCATCACACATAAGGAACACCAAGGAAGTTTTTTCATGAATGTCCAACAACTTGTCTTCGTCAAGTATATGTTGTAATAATACTGACAGCTTGTAGTTTACCCTGGGGTGGTGATTCATTGTTCGACTTCTTCACAGAACATTCATGAATGCACTTTGCAGGTGCCTTTCTTCAATCTTGAAATTTTACAGAAACACCACACGTCTATCAACAGGGCAATGCCTTTCATTAGTGAGACAGTTTCACTGTTTACAAATTTTGGATGTGATAACTCACACTTGCGTCGCCAATTCCGAATGTCACTTTGTACCACATGTAACAGCTAAGACTACGCGCGGAGTCGCCGACCAACAAGAGCCGAGCTGCGCTTGACCTAACCCACTAAGAAATCGCAATGGGGTAGATACGACACTTCCACTGCACCCAGCTCGACCCAGCTGCGCTCCACTCACTTCTGCTCAGTGCTCAGTGTTCACTTTGCGACCCCTTGCGGCCTGCGCCTCGCGCGAGACCGTCTGTGCAGGAGAGGGGATGACCACAGGCCACGTCATCACAACACAACACGTGCACCAATAGCAATTCGTCTTGACTGCACTTCATATAGTGGGAGTGGCGGTCATTTTAAAAGTACGAAAGAACTAACGGAAGGCCCAATGGTCTCTGATGAACAATGTTATTTTTTTATGAAACTCGTGTTCTATTGCCAAATTGATTGTTGCAAAAGTAAATAGAAAAATTATAGTTCTATAGAGAACATTACGAGGAACACGATGGTAATAATTACGAAACAAATTGTCATTCAGTTTTTTTTTAAATAACGAAAACGATGAATCTCTGCGAAAATGACTTTTTAAACACCTTTTCATTCAGTCTGTTAAAACTTGTCCAAAAATTGGTGGAATTACTTTTTAACAAAATTGATATCATATTTTTAATTACTATCGATGGGGAAGAACAAGTACTCGTACTTTCGTTGTACCAGAATGTTGAAGTATGTCCATTAAAAAAGTTAACTGTCAAAGAAAATGTGTGAATTTTCAATTTGTGCATTAGAATATATCGTCATTGGCAGATATTCGTTTTTGAAGTCCAATTAAAAAGATTCAGCGATTGGAGAAATTGATGTAACTATTTTCTATGATTACCTGAAAGTCTTCGGATACGTTATTTGTTTTGAAGACGAGCCACGTTGAACGGGATGCGCGAAGATAAGCCAAAGCACGTGAATTGTGGCCTCTAGGGCTGAAAGGAAGCGTTTGTTTATTTTACATCTGCAGATGGGAGTATCGAAAACAATACTCGAACGATCACGAGAAGCCCTTTCCGGAAGATAATCTTGCTGGGCATTCTAGTTAGTTAACTTTTACTGGTGGATGAGACTGAAAGTATTGGATATGTTGTGGAATATAAAAGTAGGAACGTAATTTTAGTCAGAGATCAATCGTGTAAGGTGTTAATATAAGAAATCAAATTGGATCACAGAGAAAAGAGTTAAAAAATGACAAGTGACAACGTGAAATATAATAATAATAATAATAATAATAATAATAATAATAATAATAGTATGCGAATAAACACTTTTTTTTTCAGTGGCCATGTTTGGACGATTCTCGAGCGAGCGGGCCAGCGAGCTTGCCAACAACGCGCGGATTCTCCATAGACATTGATTGGGAGCACAGACTTTCTCCAAATAGTTTTATAATCTCTTTGGGCTAGCTTTTCGGGTTTGATCCGCCTTCCCAGCTGTCATCTAGTGCCCCCACCCCCCATGGATATTTTTCACATTTCTCAATTTCTCGATCACCTATTGGTTGAACTGAAACATAAATTTAAGAATACTATGTAAGAGTAAAACTCGGTCCCATATGAAAATTTTCGATCAATAATTTGGAACGGTCTTTTGTCGTTTGAAAGTTTCAGAAATTTCGTAATTTCGTGCGTTTTTCACACAATACTGTAAGCTTTTCGAGAAAATTTATTGTAAATAATTTGAAGCCCTTTTACCCATAAATACAATACTGTATACGAATCCCCCGTATTGAAAATATTAATGACGTGAGATGTATTTCAAGAAAATTATAATTGTATAAAAATACAAATGGTTAATAAATACATTACCTGTAATTACGTTTGTCATATTATCTAGTGCATTTTGCAGTATCCCTAGAAAAATTTTAAAGAAAAAAACTGATGCCGTTTTTGAAAAATTGTCTTTCAAGCGTTTCTGAAAATTTAAGCTCATTTTCACAGAGAAGTTTGAGTTTTCGTGAAACGTTAACAGACATCATTTGAAGCACTTTTACTCAAAAATGCAATCATATATACAAATCGCCAGTAAAGTAAATTTTAACGATTTGAGAGAGATACTAAAATTATATTTTTGTAATTTTTGAAAATCAAAGAATACAACAATTTAGCGTTTATGTAATCTTAAAAAGTACCTAAATTTGGCCTACCTATCCGAGTACAAATAGTAAAAATATTAAAGAGAAAAAATTATTTCGGTTGTTTTTGAGGCGTTTTTGAGAAAATCTTGTTTTTAATATTTATACACATATTTCCATTATTTCACTCAAAATTTCAAGAAAACTTATATTTTCAAAAAACGTACTACATTAATCAAAGAACTGAATGTGGAGAACAAATTACAACTGGAAAAAAATCTCTACCTTTAAAATATTTTGTTGGAAGACGACAAAAAAATTTCAACCTTTCGCAATTTTCGAAAATACGAAGTTAATGTGAAAATCGGATTGGTGTTATCTTTATAAATGTATCTAACTCTATTCTTACAAGAATTTTTCTTTAAAAATTGGAGCCACTTTTGAGAAATGTTTGAAAATCTCCCAGAAGCATCATGTAATGCACCCCCGTAAATTAAAGAAAATGTTTTACAATCCCAGAGGTTCGAGTCGAGCCAGATGGGGCAATGAATATTTATTTAGGGGAAAAAATCAAATTTTTCAATTTTTTTCGAATCTCTACTTGTAAAATTGAAATTTGGCTTTAAAATAATAGAACGGTGACATCTGGTCCAGCATACACGTTTTCATTGAAGAATTCGGAGTCATTTTTAAGAAAATGTCGTTCAATTGATTCTAAATTTGCGCATTTGAAGCCCATTCCCACCCAAACCTTTCATTTTTTAGAAAAACGTCTTAAGAAATTTTTTAAATGAATTGTACGAATATCACCAAATGCGATAATGTATGAAAAATGCTCTTAATGCAAATAGTAACGGCGTGCCACATATTTTAAAAATGCATTTGGTGTAGTTCTGAAAATACAAAAGAAAACAGCGAAATGACGTTTGTCATTTGTTACAGTGCATTTAGCACTCTCCGAACAAAATATCCCAAGAAAAATTGGAAGCCGTTTATGAAACAATATTGTTTTAATTTTTTTTAATATTGCCCATATTTTACTGATAGACGCTAAAAATTACTAAAGTTTAAAAAAAAACATAACGTTACTGAAAGAACTAATTGGAACACGTTTTATTTAAAGAAAAATTGCTGTATTCAATTTATTACGCCCAAAAAAATCCATTCTTTTTTGTAATTTTCGAACATTAAGTGTTAACAGTGAAAATCCGATAAATGACATTTTGATAAATGACATTTTGATAAGTGATAAAAATATAGTGAATATTTCACTATATTCTTACAAGAATCGTAAAGAAAAAAACGGAAGAATGTTTGAGAAAAAAATTGAAATGTTCCGTGGGCTTCACGTAAAGAACCAAAAAAATTACAAAAAATATTTTCCAAATTTCAGAGCTTTGAGTCTGGCGAGATCGACAGGGGTATGTTAATTTTGAGGAAATCGTATGAACAGTGTAGGCGCTAATGTTCTCAGATGGACAAGTGGAGGGACAGACAGACGTTTTGAATACAAAACATTTTTTTCGGTATCAGGGGACCCCAAAACGTATGTTTCCGTTGAAATCTCGAAATATATTTTCCACAGAATTTCATAATTTTCTCTATATTACCTCTATTACTCCGGTAGGTATACGAGAAAGTAAAAAGTGCGAGGGCCATTGTCCCGAGAGGGAATCTGAAAACCTTTGTGGTCCTTGTAAAATGACTTTTCCTAACTTTTATTGATCCAAAATTGTCTCTCCAATTTTTATGCCAAATTGATTTGAATATGTATGTCGGCCGCAATGTTATATGCCTGGTGGAAAGAATGGGATTCTGGTAATTCCTCATCGATAAGTAATTTGAAAATTGATAATAAGCAACGAGTATCAAATATCTTTTTGCAGAATTAAATCACACTCAATGATTATTATTATTAATAATAATAATAATAATAATAACAACAATAATGACATGTCGGTGCCTATAGTCGAGTACAGTTTCGGACTCATGGACTGGACTGAGCAAGAAATTCGAACTATGGACCTAAAAAACACCTAAAAACCAGAAAACTGCTAACAAAGTATCATGTTGCCCACCCTCGAGATGATGTACATAGACTTTGTGTCACGTAAGGAAGGAGAAAGAGGCCTCAGACAAATTGAAGCCTCCCGGCACAATGCAATAGTCGGGATAGAAAAGTGTGTAGTCAGTCATCAAGATGACCCTCTAATGAGACAGGCCATTAAATCTGACCGAAGAATGGGAAACAGAGGCATTGTTAGTGTAGCAAGAAGCATCGCAAAGCAACCTATGCAAGATACGCAGAATAACACAGACGCTGAGCTTCTGATGCAACTAAACATGAAATGCGAGACACAAAAAATGTTAAAGAAATCGCGGAGAGACAAACCACTCCATTGACAATATCTAAGAAGAATGGACAAGATGCAGATCAATAAGGATCAATCATGTCGCTTAAAGAGGAAGAATGAAGCCAGAATCGGAAGCAGTTCTAATAGCTGCTCAGGATCAGACTTTGAGAACAAAGCGGTTTTCAAAATTTTCCAAGATGATAAATGCCTCATCTGCCAGGAACAAGTAGAAATCATTGATCATATCGTCTCGGCTTGTCCAATTCTAGCAAAGACCGAATACAGGGTGCGCCAGAGAAACTTACTTATTTGAAAGGTCAATAAAAACAAAAGTATTTCAGTTATTGTTTTAAATTTTTTTTATTTGAGAATACAATATCCCAATTTTTTTCATGCAGTCTTGAAAATGACATCGGATAAATGGCGACCTCCATTGCGCATACACTGATGAAGTCGATTTTTGAAATTCGTATCCACTCTTTGCAGCATATCAATCAGTATGTTGGCAATGGCGTCGCGAATGTTGTTCTTGAGGTGTGCTACGGTCCGTGGTCGATCGACATAAACCAGGGATTTCAAATAACCCCATAAAAAATCGCATGGAGTCAAATCTGGAGAGCGTGCCAACTGACTGGATGGCAAATGACTGGAAGGAGAAAAAGAAACTTGGGAACATCCCCCTCCAGATACGCCCCCTCTCGCCCCTCTAACCGCCCAACTCACCGCGCGGGAATTTTTTCAAATAAGTAAGTTTCTCTG